TTTTTTTTTTTTTTAAGAGACAGGGTCTTGCTCTTGCTTAGGCTGGTCTTGAACCTGTGAGCTCAGGCAATCCACCCACCTTGGCCTCCCAGAGTGCTAGGATTTCAGGTATGAGCTACTGCGCCTGGCCTGTTGCTTATACTTTTGATGTCATATCCAAGAAACTATTGACAAATCCAAGGTCACAAATCCTTAACACCTATGTTTTCTTCTAAATAGTTTTATAGTTTTAGCTCTGACATTTATGTCTGTGATTGATATTTAGTTAATTTGTATATATGGTGTGAGGTAGGGGTCTAACCTTGAATGATGGATATCCAGTGGTTCTAGCACCATTTGTTAAAAAGACTATTCTTTCCCCAGGGGGTGGTCTTAGTGTCTGTATTAGTTTTCTAGGGCTATCATAACAGAGTACCATCGACTGGGTGGCTTTAAACAGAGAGTTATTTTCTCATAGATCTGGAAGTCTAAAGTCTGAGATCAAGGCTTTGGCTGGGTTATGTGAGGAAAGGCCTCTCTCCTTGGCTTGTAAATTGCCAAATTCTCCCTGTGTCTTCATATAGTCTTCCCTCTATGTGTGTCTGTGTCCAAATTCCCCCTTTTTATAAGAAAGTCAGTAGTATTGGATTAGGGCCTACTCTAAGGACCTCAACTTAATTACCTCTATAAAGATCGGACCTCCCAGACTCAGAGCAATGAGTGGCTTGAAACTGTAATCCTAGCACTTCAGGAGTCTGAGCTAAGAGAATTGCCTCAGGCTAGGAGTTCAAGATCAGCCTAGGCAACATAGCAAGACTCCATCTTACAAAAAATAGAAAAATTAGCAGAGTGCTGTGGGATGCCTCGTCTATAGTCCCAGTTATTCAGGAGTTGAGGCAGGAGGATCACTTGAGCCCAGGAGGTTGCAGTGAGCTACATTAATGCTGCTGCCCTCTAGACCAAGCGACAGAGGAAGCCCTGTGTCAAAAACAAAAACAAATCAAAAAAAGAAAAAAAATCCCAACTCCAAATACCATGACATTCTGAGGTACTAGAGGTTAGGACCTTATTGTATGGATTGGTGCTGAGCACAACTGAACTCATAACAATCCCCTTGTCAAAATCAGTTGACTGTGCACAGGAGTGCGACATTTTCAGAGTTCATCCATGCTGTAGCATGTATCTATACTGTGTTCCCTTTTTTTCTGAGTAGTAGGAATCATAAAAACCTTTTTTTTTTTTTTTTTGCAGTTTTTGGCTAGGGCTGGGTTTGAACCCACCACCTCCAGTATATGGGGCTGGCGCCCTACTCCTTTGAGCCACAGGCGCCACCCCATAAAAAAACTTTTGAAGATCAGACCAACATCCCCTATACAAGGAGCCATACCCTTGTAAACTCAAATTGCCCAGGCCACCTGGATGCCTGATCTGGGTCTAGGCAGCCCCAGGGAGTCTAGATACTGAGCTCTGTCCTGTGTTGTCTTCCTTGTCATCGAATCTGAGCAGGTCATCCACACAAACAATGAGCGATACGTAGCTGCTATCATCGTGAGTGAGAAGCTATGCCAAGATCAACTCAAGGAGATGAACAAGAGTTGCGAAGGTAAGTGCTAAGGTTACAAGAAGCAAGCGTGGTGGACTCTGTGTAGTGCTCTCAGCTGCTAATCTTTCTGGGTCTCTTCCTTAGCACTGCACCTCAGATCGGGCGAGATGGCCAAGAAGCTGGAGGTGGAGCTGGTCAAGGAGAAGGTGGTATGCACCAAGGATAAGGAAGGCTTGTTGCTGAGCAAGAACGTGATGGAAGAACAGCTGACCCAGTGCTCAAAAGCCCAGGAACAGCACCAGCAAGAGCGACAGCTGGCCGAGGACAAGCTGCAAAAGGTGCAATCCCTCTGCTTCCAGCTGGACAAGGACAAGTTTGAGAATGATCTGCGCAACCTGTGGAGGGACTCAATTATCCCCCGCACCCTGGACTCTCTGAGCTATGGTGTCTACCATCCCCTGGGCTCTGATATACTCTCCATCCAGAGAATGTGTAATCAGCTGCCCAGCCTCATGAGCACCAAGGTAGAGGAGCTGGCCCGGAGCCTCAGGGCAAGCATTGAGAGTGTGGCCCGTGAGAACTCAGACCTCCAACGCCAGAAGCTGCAAGCTGAGCAGAGCCTGCGGGCTAGTCAGGAGGCAAAAGAGAAGGTGGAGAAAGAGGCTCAGGCCCGGGAGGCCAAGCTCCAGGCTGAATGTTCCCGGCAGACACAGCTGGCGCTGGAGGAGAAGGCCACGCTGAGGAAGGAGCGGGACAACATGGCCAAGGAGCTGGAGGAGAAGAAGAGAGAGGTGGAACAGCTCAAGATGCAACTGGCCGTCAGCAACACGGCCCTGGACACCTGCATCAGAGCCAAGGTAGGTTGGCAGGTCCCAGAAGGAGACTACATTGGAGGTGGGTCCAGACATCAAGTTGGTGGTGGTGACATTAAACTTGAGTTTGGAGTTGGGTTTGAGGTTGGCTTCCTGGTCTAGATTGGGTGAGTTAGGACTCCCTTGAGACATTCACCAACATTAGGATCTGGAAAGACATGAGCACGGAAATAAGCATTGGGATAGAAGTAGTGTTAAGACTGTAATTCAACTGTTGGGGTCAGATGTTAGCTGATTTTTGAGTTCAGAATTGGCTTTGGATTTCTGGTTTCAAGGGATTCGTTCAGGGTTGTTCCAGGGATGGCATTTAGAATCAGGGTCCAGTTGATTACAGAGCAGACTGTGTGAAGGAGTGAATCTAGAATTTCCCGCTGCTTTGGGATTGGGTTGCATCGTGGGGTGTGTTTATTTTTTTTAATATTTATAGCGAACTTTATTTTCATTGATATTACATATTTCATTTAACATACTTTCAAAGTAGATCTGTGCTCTAAGGTAAGCAAACAAACAGATATCCTAAATCTCCTAAGAGATCTTTTCCATTCTGTTTCCCTGAGAAGGGCATGAGGTTTCAGGCCCCCAAGCTTGACACCTAAAATTTTACCCCTTGAAATTTTACTTGTAGGTACAGAAAGAAGAGATAACATCAATATAAGAATCAAACTGTATGACTGTATCATTAAGCTCTTGTGTTATACATGTGGCACCTCTGTAGGGTTATAACCCTAATGACTAATATCCCCATCAAGTTCAGCGTCTTTTTTTTTTTTTTAAGTAGAATGTCAGAGTACATAGAAATGTTGCACTTTTCTCTCTTAATACACTAAAAATAGTAGAAGTTTAAAGATTTTCAATTCTTCATGAGTCCAAGCTAGGACATGATCACTACTGATGAGGTCTGTTCAACATATTAATTCCAACTTTGCAACCATCAGCAAACTGGCACCTGCAATTAAACCTGCAGGTTTAATTAAACCTGTTAGATTTTCCAGAGTGGTAGAATCTCATTCCCATAATGCCAGGTCTCAGATGTAGCTAGGAAAACCTAAATGTTGCTCGGATCCTGAGATAGCTGAGAAGCACCCAGGCCTGCTACACCCCCGAAGGGGAGCCCAGCAGCCAGAGTCTGGCGCACTACCTGCTTTTGCATAACCAGTGATCCCAGCAGAAGCACCCAGTGCTGTGTGGCCAAAGCCAAACCAATGCAAAAGCACTATAGGGCCAGAGTCCTTCTACATTGTTCCCTTCTCACTGTCCAGATGGAAGACTACACCAGGCCTGCACCCAAACAGTGCTTCCAAAGATCTGCTGGTCCCCAAGGGCCCAGAAACAGTGCAGAGTGTGCTTTTGAGAGGTGGATTTAGAACTGAAGTGAGGATGACTCGTTGGCAGCTATTGACTCTATAGTTGGGCTTTGCAATGTGGTTATGTATGAATGTAGGATTTATTTATTGATTTATTTAGGGACAGCGTCTCATTCCTTCACCCTGGGTAGAGTGCCGTGGCATCATCATAGCTCACGGCAACTTCAAACTTAAGCTCCTCTTGCCTCAGCCTCCCAAGTAGCTGGGACTATAGGCACCTGCCACAGTGCCTGTCTAGTTTTTCTATTTTTAGTAGAGACAGAGTCTCACTCTTGCTCAGGCTGGCCTCGAAATCTTCAGCTCAAGCAATCCATCTGCCTTGGACTCCCAGAGTGCTAAGATTAGCAGCATGAGTCACCACACCTTGCCTGAGAAATGGTTAAGAATTGAGGCTGAGGCTCAGCGCCTGTGGCTCAAGTGGCTAAGGCGCCAGCCACATACACCTAAGGTGGCGGGTTCAAATCCAGCCCAAACCCGCCAAACAACAACAGCTACAACCAAAAAAAAATAACCAGGAATTGTGGTGGGTGCCTGTGGTCCCACCTACTTGGGAGGTAGAGGCAGGAGACTCACTTGAGCCCAGGAGTTGGAGGTTGCTGTGAACTGTGATGCCACAGCGCTCTACCCAGGGGGACAGCTTGAGGCTCTGTCTCAAAAAAAAAAAAAAAAGAATTGAGGCTGAGATTGAGTTTAAGGGATGCTAGTGGGCCTCAAACTGATTTAGCATTAGGATACAGGGGCTCATTTAGGGTTAGGGTTAGGACTGGGGTTCAGATCAGGGTTGAGAGTCTGTATTTGAGGTGAGTTACAGAATGGGAGGGAGGTGGGTTAGAGTTGGGAGTGATATTGGTATGAAGATGTCTAGAGGAAGAGTCAACATGAACACTGAATTTGTGTTTAAGTTGAGCTGAGATGAGTTTTTGGTCACTGCTATGTCAGAGTTGGTTTGGGTTAAGTTGAGGTTCCATTTAGGATCCCATTGACCTCAGAAATGGGGTTGAATTTGGATTGTGAGGAAAGGTCACAAATTGAGTCAGGTACCACATGTAAGGTGATCATTGGGTGTAGGGTTGGGTGAAGAATGAACCTCAGATCTCAGTCACTTTGGGATTGCATTGAGTTGAGGCATTGAACTTGGAGTTGAGGCTCCGATAAGTGGAAGTTGCTGGTGGCTCTAGAGATGGTTAAAGATTTGGGAACAAGGGTGAATTTCAGATCACATTAGCATTCAGATTGGTATTGACAAAGGGTTAGAAGTTGTGGTTGGGTTGGGCTTAGGGTAACTAGTTAAGGGTTGGGTTGGAGTTGAGATATAGTTGAGTTGAAGGATTGGGTTGGCCTAGGTTATGGTTGGGGAGGCATATGGTTTGGGGTGAGGGTCAGGGCTGGATCTAGAGTAGAAGCTAGTGTGAATGGTGATATTGAGGTGGAGGTGGGTTAAGGTGGGTTCAGGGTAACTGATGAGTTTGGGGTTATTTCAAGGATAAGGTCAGTTGCTCAGTGCCTGTAGCACAGTGGTTATAGCACTGGCCACATAAACCGAGGATGGCAGGTTCGAACCCAGCCTGGGCCAGCTAAACAACAATGGCAACTACAACAAAAAAAATAGCTAGGCGTTGTGGTGAGCACCTGTAGTCCCAGCTACTTGGGAGGCTGAGGCAAGAAAATTGCTTATGCCCAAGAGTTTGAGGTTACTGTGAGCTATGACACCACAGCAGTCTACCGAGAGCAACATAGTGAGACTCTGTCTCAAAAAAACAAACAAAAAAGGATAAGGTCAGATAGAGCCTTTGATTAGAGTAAAGTTTAAGACTGAGGATGGGTTTAGGGAGAGAACTGGGTAGAGACTAGAATTGGTGTGAAGCTGGGCAGGTATTTGTAGGTGAGTATGGTGAGATCCAGGGCTAGGGCCAAAGGAAAAGGACGTATCATAGAGGTCAAGTCTAGAAGATGGTTGGAATCAGAGGCAGATCTAAACATATGGTCATATCTGATTTGTAACTAGAGTTGGGGTAAGGTATTGGGGCTTGACTCTAAGGAAGGTTGAGTTTTCACATTGGGATCAGATTTTTAGGTAACCGAGTTCAGAATTGGCTTTGGATTTTAGGTTTCAGGGGCTGGCTCAGGGTCATTCCAAAGGATGCATTTAGCATCAAAGTCCTGCTGGTTTATAGAACAGGTTGGTTTCAGGCTGAAGGAGAGCTGGAGTGGATTGGTGGGTTCACTTGAGGTCATGGATTGGGCTTGGATTGTCACAGAAGCTGTAGTAGAAACTGAGAGAGGCCAGCCCTGCAGTATGGTATCTTTGAGGACCGCCCAGGGAAGCCAGTCCCTGGAGTCCCCAGATCATTTGCGGGCTCATGGTGGGTATAGGTGATTGTATGTTTATGATCACGTGTGTCCTGTTACTTGGGGGTCTGTTGCCCTGCCCTAGAAGGGCCTCAGAGACCAGGCATGAAAAAGCAGGAGCTTTGCTGGGACTGGAGGTCAGGGGTCCTGGTTCCTGCCAACCGTCCTCTACCCTTCTTCCAACAGTCGCAGCCGATCCCATTGCCGAGACCTGTGGGCCCTGCCCCCAACCCTCCACCCATCGGTGAGTGAGAGAGGGCAGGAACAGGAAGTAGGGGAGGGGGTCCTTTCAACCTTACCTGCCAACCCCTATTTTACTGTCCTGGGTTGCTAGTCCATCCCTAGCCCAGGGGCAGGGTTGCTATGGCATAGGTCAAACCTGACTCTTCCTTCTCTCTATAGACCCAGTTAGCCTGGAGGAATTCAAGAAGAGGATCCTGGAGTCCCAGAGGACCTCTATAGGCAATCCTGCAGCCCCATCCAGGTAAGGCACTGGGCAGGCTGAGGCGGTTCAGTCTCCAGGCTGTGGGGGAAACGGGTCAAAACTAGGTGTGGAGGGAAGCTAATCTCCCATTTGCTGCTTCCTTGATTGAGTGCCTGCTGTATACTAGGCCCTTTGCTGGCCTGGGGGACACAGAAAACCAAGACACAACCAATTCTGTCCTCATGAAACGTCCTGACTAGTGAGCCAGATTGACAATGAGTCATAATAAGCCAACCCAAGAGACTACAATTATTAGGCACCATTGTGGGCTCTACCTAGTTCTAAGCACTTTACATTAACTTATTTAATCCCTGTAGCCCGAATTAAATAAAAAGTGTGGCTCGGTGCCTGTGGCTCAAGTGGCTAAGGCGCCAGCCACATACACCTAAGGTGGCGGGTTCGAATCCAGCCTGGGCCCGCCAAACAACAATGATGGCTGCAACCAAAAAATAGCCGGGCATTGTGGCAGGCGCCTGTGGTCCCAGTACTTGGGAGGCGGAGGCAGGAGACTCGCTTGAGCCCAGGAGTTGGAGGTTGCTGTGAGCTGTGATGCCATGACACTCTACCCAGGGGGACAGCTTGAGGCTCTGTCTCAAAAAAAAAAAAAAGTGCCCAGAGAGGGCATGCATTTTGCCCAAGTTAACACAGCCACGGAGTAGCAGATCTGTGACATGAACCTGATGATCAGACAAGGGAGGGCTTTGGAGGGGGAGCAGGGACATTGAGTTAAAGCCTAAGGAGGAACTATCTCAGATAAAGTAGAAGGAACAGTGTTGTAGGCAGCAAGAACAGCCAAGGCAAAGACCCAGAGGCTCACTCACCATGGGTGAGAGGAGTCTGGCCAGGCACAGTGGCCAAATGCCTGCAAACCTAGCACGTTGGGAGGCTGAGGCAGGAGGATTGCCTGAGGCCAGGAGTACAAGACCAGCCTGGGCAACATAGTGAGACACTGTTTCTACCAAAAAAATTTAAAAATTAGCTGAGCATGGCAGTACCTATCTATTGTCTCAGCTACTCAGGAGGCTGAAGCTGGAAGATCTTCTAAGCCCAGGAGTTCAAGGTTTCAGTGAGCTATGATGGTGCTACTGAACTCCAGCCTGGGTGACAGAGTGGGACCCTCTCTCTAAAACCCTTGGCTAACTGTAAAGTGCTGTTCACAAATGGCCAGAGCAAGGGGGGGCATGTTGAGAGCATCCGGCACATACTGAGGTCTTGGCTTGTTGTCTTTGCCCCCCCTTACCTCTTCCCCAGTTGGTCATCCATCAGACTACACCCTGTGCGTCACAGGGATGGTGACTCAGGCGGCCTTCCCAAGAACACCCTGTGCTCCCTCCAGGGTCCTGGCTACTCCCATTTAGGACCATACCAGTGCCAAAGGAATCAGGGATGGTTACTGCCACTTGCAGATCAGGACCTGAAGCTTAAGAAGGCACCAGCATTTTTAAAGTCAGATCCCTTTGACTCCGGAGACAGGGCCTATGACTGCTTTGCCATCAGGCTATTGTCCGTCTGGGTCTATTGCAGTCATTCAGAGGCTTTACTACCAACTCCCCAGGTGCTCGACATCCAGCTCTAGCTCTACTATGTCTCTAACATACCCCTTCTGATGAGGAGCTCACCCCTTGCTGAGCTACCTCTCAGCCCCCTTAGCTCTAGTTGACTATGGACAAAGTTCTCAGCCCTAGGCAGCCCCCAGCAAGGAGGAAAACAAAGAGGTGAGGAGGAGATCCCCGCCCAAGGCAAACACAACTTTCCTCTCTCCATCTTGGTACAAAGCCTTTGTAGCAAGGAAAGAGGTTCTATTATTATCCCCATTTCTCTGAAGAGGAAACTGAGGCTCCAGGGAAGTGATCAGCCCAGGGTCATGCAGCGACAAGTCAGGGCCAGGGCCAGGGACAGAGCCGGGCTTCCAGCCCAGGACCATCAGGGCTTCTGCTGAGAACCGGGGAAGCTCTTGACATTGTTTACCCTAAATGACGTCCCCCAGCCAAGAAAACAATATGCACTTATGCCTGGGCCTCTCTTGCTTCTCCCTTCAGGGTTGCAGGAAGGGCTGGCCTTCCCCTGAGAGAGAGGCCAGGTGCAAGTGGGCTGGGGCTGTCAGCTCTGGGTTCACTAGGCAATTTGAACCAAGTCAGTGGAATTTTATTTTTTAATTATTTCTTTTTTTAGAGAGACAGCCTCTTGCTCTGTCACTCAGGCTGGAGTTCAGTGGTGCAATCATAGCTCACTGCAGTCTCTACATGCTGGGATTACAGTGTGAGCCACCAAACCACACTTGGGATTTTAGATGCACCCAATGAAGTGCCACAGCCCAAGCCCAACATCAAATCACCCACCCCATGCACTGGGAGAGTTGTACTTTCTTAACCACTCTTAATTCTTTCCAAACCTCAGGAAAGTCTCAGCTTAGCCCGGTGTGGTGGTGTGTGCTTATGGTCCCAGCTACTCATGAGGCTAAGGTGTGAGGATCTCTCAAGTCCAGGTCTCTTGACACCAGCCTAGGCAACATACCAAGACCCTATTTCTAAAAAAATTAAAGTTAATTTAATTTTTGAGACAGAGTCTCACTTTGTCACCCTGGGCAGAGTGCCATGGCATCATAGCTCACAGCAGCTTCAAACTTTTGGGCTCAAGTGATCCTCTTCCTTCAGCCTCCTGAATAGCTGGGACTACAGGTGTCCACCACAATGTCCAGCTATTTTTTAGAGACGAGCTCTAGCTTTGTCTCAGACTGGTCTTGAACCTGTGAACTCAGGCAATCCATCTGCCTTAGCCTCCCAAAGTGCTGGGATTACAGGCATGAGCTACCGTACCCAGCTACAATTAAATTTTAATGTAAAAAAAATCCTCATTAGTATAGTGGTTAGTAAAAATAAAAAAATAAGGAAAGGCTCAGATTGTGCTAACTCACCCTAACAGCACCCAGACACTTGCATGTCCCCCAAGTTCACAAATTAATGGAAGACCCAGGGCCCTGCATCAGGTGAACTTAACCACAGGTCTTGCTCTGACCAAACATTTTTACACTATTTTTTTTTAATCAGTGACAAGTGTGGTCCTTTATTTAATGAGACTAAGTGTCTTTTGGAGATAAATTTAAGATTAAAAAAATAGGGCTTGGCGCCCGTAGCTCAGTGGTTAGGGCACTAGTCATGTACACCAAGGCTGGGGGGTTCGAACCCTGCCCAGGCCTGCTAAACAAAAATGACAACTACAACAAAAATAATAGCCAGTCGTCGTGGCGGGCACCTATAGTCCCAGATACTTGGGAGGCTGAGGCAAGAGAATCAATTGAGCCTAAGAGTTTGAGGTTGCTATGAGCTGTGATGCCACAGCACTCTACTGAGAGCAACAGAGTGAGACTATGTCTCAAAAAAAAAAAAAGAAAAGAAAAAAAGATATAAGGAGAAAAATTAAGTAAATCTTGGTCCGGGGGCTACATGGTTGGAAATGACAAATTTTTTTTTTTTTTTTAGACAGAGTCTTCCTCTGTCACCTTAGGAAGAGTGCCATGGCATCATTATAGCTCACAGAACATCAAACACTCAGGCTCAGGCAATCCTCTTTCCTCAGCCTCCCACGTAGCTAGGACTATAGGCGCCCAGCTAGTTTTTTCTACTTTTAATAGAGATGGGGGTCTCACTCTTGCTCAAGCTGGTCTGGAACTCTGGAGCTCAAGCAATCCACCGGCCTCAGCCTCCCAGAATGCTAGGATTACAGGCATAAGCCAACACGCCCAGCCAAGGAAATAGCAAACATCTTGATGTAAAGGGCTTCAGGTGGGAGTTCAGCCTTGGCTCCCTGGCTCTGAGCCAGCCACACAGTGTCACTCAAGTTTATCACTGTTATGATTTTTCTGTTCATTCACCCTTTATTTACTGAGCAGCTTCCAGGTGCCAGGTACACAGTGGGGAATAAGGCATAGAAACTCCCACCCTTCCAGGGTTCACAATCTAGTAAGGGAGATGGATAATGAACAAGATGAATGTTGTTATTCAAGAGCCCTTTGGTGACAAGCAAGATAGAAAAGGTATAGGGAAACGTGAAAAGGTTGGAATTTTGGCCAGGTGGAGTGGTTCATGCCTGTAATCCCAGCACTTTGGGAGGCCAAGGAGAGAGGATCAACTGAGTTTGAGACCAGCCTGGGCAATACAGCAAGACTCCATGTCTACAAAAAATTTTTTAAAAGTAGCTGGGCACGGTGGTGCGCACCTGTAGTCCCAGCTACTCTGGAGGCTGAGGGAGGAGGATTGCTTGAGTCTAGGAGTTTGAGGTTGCAGTGAGCTATGATGATGCCACTGCACTCTAGCCTGGGTGACAGAATAAGATCTTGTCTCTAAAAAAAAAGATTGGAATTTTCCTTGAGAGACAGGGTAGACTTGACTGAGGTAATATTTGCGCAAAGACCTAAAGGAGGTGAGGGAGAAACTATGGAGAGATCTTAGGAAGGAAGCACCAAGCAGAGGGCACAGCCTGTGCAAAGGTCCTGAGGCCAGACCATGCCTGGTGTGTTGGAGCCAGGGTCCCAATGTGACTGGAACAGACTGACTGCCAAAGAAAGAAAGAGGAGGTGAGAATAGGGAGATGACCAAGGCATATCTGGCAGTGCGGCCACTGTGAGAACTCTGTGAAGACTTGGGAGCTGAGGGAACAATGATGGAGACCTCAGTCTCTGGAAAGTGGGGTGCAGGAAAGCCTTGCAGGCAGGACCAGTGCTGGGTGATTCATAGCTGAGGATGGAGACTTGGGGCCAGGGACCGGGACTAGAGCCAGCCAAGGAACGTGAGGCCACTTGGGCCCCAGGGAAGAGCAGGGGAAGGAAGGGAGAGGACCCAGCGGAAGTGAGACTTGGCTGCAGCCCCCTCCTCCCCCAGCAGGAAACAGCCTCTGCGCCAACCCCTGACCCCTCATGAGAAACTTTGCCAGGCATAGGAGGGGGAAGGGCATTCCAGGCAGCAAGATAGGCTCGTGCAAAGGTATGGAGGGGGGAGGGGCATACTGGGGGGAGGGGTGCTGCGGAAGCAGTGTGAAGGCTCTTGGAATAATTGTGAGGACTTTGGCACAGTTTGAGTCCCAGATTGGGAAGCCTGGCAGAGGCACAGGGGTGGAGCCTTGAATGCCAGGTCATGAGGCTTGGGTCCGGTAGAGCTGGGGAGCCATGGAAGGCATGTGAGCAGCGCCAGAGTTCCTGGCTCAATTCTATGTAGACAAAAGAGGGAGACTGATACGCTGCCTTGGGAACCAGTGGGGTGGGGATTGGGGGACAGTGTGAGCAGAGGTCTTGGGACAAATTCTCAGTGTCTTCAGAACCTTGGAAAACACTGGGGAGAATTAAATAAGCTGCAGTGGAGGCTTAGGGCTCATAAGGAGGCATCTCCGATCCTCAGTCTCTTCCTCTACCTAATGGGGAGAAACATACTCATGTCTTATCCCAGGGCTCAAGGTGGGAGGAGGCAGGGCAAGGGTGCTCAGGACATGTTGCCCCCACCGAGGATGAGTCTGCTGGGCCAGGTGAGGTTTGTCCTTCCATCGGTCTGACTGATTATTGTGTTCTCATCCCCTTCCTGTCCTAGTGGCTGAGGAGGCTCCCCACCCAAGGAGTGAGAGAAGGCCCCCGTTCACTGCTCTGCAAACACAGTGCAGCAAAGTGTGCACGGCACCGGACACAGCCTCCTCCTGCCATCCCCAACACTGCTGCCAGACCACTTCACACAGCACACCCCTAATATTCTGTCATAGCCCTACACCTGCACCTCACAACCTTTTACCCCTAGACACAGTAATGACATCACACAGCCTCAGTGATGACATCCCACAGCTGTAGCCATGCCTTGAGTGGACACAGGGATGATGTCACATAACCACATCAATGACACGGCCATGTTACTCACAGACTACGTTAGTCACAGACATAGGAAGGACATCACCCATAACCACAGACGACGTTATGCAGGGGAGGGATTGACGTCACAGACACACGTGTTCGTGTTGTGCCCAGATGTTGTGCCCAGACATCATCCATAGGCACAGTGATGCTGTCATACACAGACATAGTGATAACTTCACAGACACAGTGACAATGTCACATATAGGGCACCAACATCACATAGGCACATTTCCCTTTACACATTTTCTGCCCAAACTTCACCAATGTCACATCCCTGCCCCTTCCGCCCTCCAACACAGGCCAAAGCACCACAGCCTCACACCCCATTCAGCACCGCCCAGGACCCAGGCATCTCCCATCCTCCATCTCTTTATCTCCTGCTGCTTCCTCACTCCCAGCGTCTGGCTCAGGGTGTGAGAACAGGAAGCCATTCACCTCCGCTGCCCCATGAAAGTTTCCGGTCACCCCTTGAGGTGTCCAGGGTGAGGAGCACCCACTGGCCCCACATACATAGCCCAAAAGGGAAGCCACCCCCTCGCTCCCTCTCCCTGCACACCCAGCCCTGCCTGTGGCCTTAATAAATGCTAGCAAATCCCTTACAGAGACTTCAGAGTTATGATTTCTGCCATGAAAAAACACCACATGACCATAAGGTAGAAAAAACTAGAAAGAAGATGAAAGCTGGTGAACACTTACCCAATGTCCCCAGGCCTGAAGACCCTTCAACCTGGAACAAATGGGGGACACCAGCACCTGCTCAAAGCACAGGTATGTGAGGAGAAACCGGCATAATCATAGTCAGAATGAATTTAATGAAATGGCTCCAAAGCCCGGCGTCATGATAGAGTAGCTGTTAAATTAATATTTCTTTTATTTGATTTTTTCTTTCTTTCTTTATTTTTAGAGACAGTCTCATTTTGTTGTCCTCAGTAGAATGCCGTAGCATCACAGATCACAGCAACCTCCAGCTCTTGGGGTTAGGCAATTCTCCTGCCTCAGCCTCCCAAGTAGCTAGGACCACAGGTGCTTGCCACAACGCCAAGCTATTTTTTTGTTGCAGTTTGGCCGGGGCCAGGTTTGAACTGGTATATGGGGCTGGCGCCCGACTCACTGAGCCACAGGCGCTGCCTTGATTTTCTTTTTTTTAGAGACAAGGTCTCACTCTGTCACCCAGACTTGAGTGCAGTAGCATCATCACTCAAACACCTTAACTCAAGTGATCCTCTAGCTTAGCCTCCTGAGTAGCTGGGACTACAGGAATGCACTGCCCTCATTGGCTAAATTTTCTTGTTTTTTGCCCATGCTGGGTGAATCTCTCTTATTTTTTTGAGAGATAGGGTCTTACTATCTTTCCCAGGCTGGTCTCAAACTCCTAGCCTCAAGTGATCCTCCTGCTTCAGCCTCTCAAAGTGCTGGGATTACAGCATGAGCCAGCACATCCAGCCAGTATTTTCTTTTAGAAAGCAGATATCCAGCTCGGCACCCGTGGCTCAAGCGGCTAAGGCACCAGCTACATACACCTGAGCTGGTAGGTTGAATCCAGCCCAGGCCTACCAAACAACAATGATGACTGCAACCAAAAAATAGCTGGGCGTTGTGGCGGGTGCCTATAGTCCCAGCTACTTGGGGAGGCGGAGGCAGGAGAATCGCTTAAGCCCAGGAGCTGAAGGTTGCTGTGAGCTGTGATGTCACAGCACTCGACCGAGGGAGACAGCTTAAGGCTCTGTCTCACAAAAAAGAAAAAGAGCAGATATCCATTTGTATAATAGCTTTGGTTTTCCTAGGTTTGCAAAGAATTCCCCAGGTATTGACAATTGCTGAGGAACCACAGCCTATAGTGAATCACAGAAATTCCTCCTCATCAGAATGATTCCAGGAGTAACATCACAAAATTTTCAGGTCACTGGTTTTGTTTCGTTTTGAGACAGCCTCACTCTATTGCCCAGGCTGGAATACCCTGGTGTTAGTCTAGTTCACAGCAACCTCAAACTTCTGGGTTCAAGTGATCCTCTTGCTTCAGCCTCCTGAGTAGCTGGGACCACAGGCACCCACCACCACACCTAACTAATTTTCCTTTCATTCTTGCTCAGGTTCAAGGGCTCCTTCCCCCTCGGCCTCCCAGAGTGCTAGGATTATAGACCTGAGCCATGGCACCCAGTCTGTTTTGTTTTCTTTTTGTGGTGCCATGAAATTCCAGAAAAGGTAACAGCATCCATTTTTGGAGCACTTTGACTCACTGATACTGATACTAAATTAACCAGTAGGCAGGGAAAGGCAAATTGAAGGAACACCGGAAAAACACATTGCACCCAACGGACTGGGGGAACAAAACTTCTTAAAAACTGTTAACACCTACTTGCTTATGAAGATGTAGAGAAAAAGGCGTTTTCCTATGGGACTGTTAGAAATGCAAATCTATCATGGCCTTTCCAGAAACTAATTTGGCATTATGTAATAAAATTAAAGATACACAGACTCCTTGACTTAACAATCCCATTCCTGGGACTTTACCCCTAAAAAGTAAAAACTCCAGGACGTGAAGCAAATGGCCATTGAGGGAAAAACTGCCTAAAAATTGTTTTCTAGAATCTCAATTTGTCTCCCCCCTCACTCCTTGATTCCTTCCCAGCCCATCCCCTGGGACCCTGGGCAGGGAGTGGATGAGTCACGAGGAGCCAGGGCTGGCAGCGCCACGCTTAGGGAAGGCTTGTCTGGAGGGACAAAGGAGCGATATTTCCGGGATACGGAAACGCGGGTGAGAGACGGTCACTGCAGGAAACACTCGGCTGGGGCTCCGCCAAGCCAGGGCAGGGGGGTCAGCCTGGCCAGACTGTTGGGGCCCCAAGGAAACGGGGATGTCCCTGACCCTGAACCTACTGCCCAGGCAGCCCAGAGTCCTGATACTGGCCAGTCCCAGCAGCTATAGAAGGCCTGATTTGGGGTTCCAGACTCAAACATCCTTGGGTTTGAATCTTGACTCAGTCAATCCCAGCCTCTATTTTCTCATCTAAAAATGGGAATAAAACTAATACAGTAATATTAGCAGTCCAGTAGCCCAGCGGGTAGATTGCTTGAGCTTAGGAGTTCCAGATAAGCCCAGGCAAGAATAAGACCCCCATCTCTAAAAAATATCTGAGCACTGTGGTGGGTGCCTATAGTCCCAGCTACATGAGACGCTGCAGCAAGATCACTTGAGCCCAAGAATTTGAGGTTGCTGTGAGCTATGATATCATGCCCTCTACCAAGAGTGACTCTGTCTTAAAAAAAAAAAAAAAACCTAAACCCCTCAGATACACCAGCACAGGTCTCTGACCCTTTGTCAGTTTCTACTGTCCAGAGCATCTTAGTCTATAAATACTGTATCATCCCCAAAGGTCTGACCGAGGCTCAGCCCTCACATGTCAGCTTCTTCCTCTAATATGGCTTCTGTGTTGGTCCAGAGGAACACTTCCATCGTCGAATATGACCAAGCCCCTCTCCTGCTAATACACCCTCCACGGCCCCCCATTACCCTTAGAATAGTCTAGTTCCTCAGCCCCTTTCTATTCCCCTCCCTTTGCCCCCATACACAGCAGCCCTTATCTCCAGCTATCTTGGACATTTAATTCTCTGACTAAAGACTCATGAATCCTTAATTCGCGCTGTGCCTTTAGACTAGAATGTCTTTTTCTTGCCTGGCAAACACTTTTTCCTCCAAGGTCCAACTTCCAGAGATCCCTTCATCCAGGAAGCCTTCTTTGATGCTCCAGGTATAGCCCTTGCTACCCCTTTGGAACCCCCAGCCTTGTCTTTCCCTCTTTCCAGGCCTGAAGCTCTGGCTCTCCCAGGATGGTGCCTCCTTGGGAGGTGGACTGGGGATGAACTGGGCATAGAGAATTTAGTACATAGGGTCCCCTCAGGCTAAACCTGAGGTCTAATCACCTAGTGAGCCTCTGACTCTTTGGGGATTTCCTGCAACCTCTATAAATAACCCCCATGCATGGCTGCTTCCCACAAACCACCTCACCCTTCTTGGAAAAAAGGGACTATAGCCAAGGACCTGGTCCCAGCTGTGTGCCAGGGCCCCGGGGGAGGCAGGCGGGGCGGAGGCATCCTGCCTAAAGAGCATCCTCATCCCCGCCCAGCCCCAGGCCCTGCTCACTTCTGGGAGCCTCCCTAGCCTTCTCTACTTCAAGCCCACCCCCATTGGGCCCACATCATTGCTTTTCTTCTCTAGGCATCAGTTTATTTTTCTGAAAAATGGGCTTAGGTAATAATGCCCAAGGCCTAAGCTCATGGTGTTACCCTTTTCCTTCAGGACCTCATTCATTGATTTGTTTGATTGAACAAAAAAATTGGTGACTGGTGGTATACTGCCATAAAGCCTGTGAATAAACAGGGGTGGGGATCCCCTTTAATTGGGTGGCCAGGAGATTCTGGCGTCCCCTTAGGTCCATTTCACACCTTTTGTCTGCCCTGTGCACCTCCCCGACACCAGAAAGCTTACATCTTCAACTACTGGAGGTGGAGACCTTTTTCTGACTCTGGAGAAAGTCCTGATCTTATTTATGACTCAGTTTCTGCCTCTGTCCCGGGAAGTTAGCCATTCACATGCCACCAGGTGGGCGTCAAGGAAGAATACGACAGGAGCCTCTTTGTTAGGGCAGGGCGCCCTCTGCTGGCTGCTCTCTGCCATGTCAGGTTCTCCCAAATTCTCAGATCTCTAAAGGTGCTTCTATTCCTACTTCAATTCATAACCCCATCCTCTCTCTCTTTTTGCGTGAAATAAAATTGAGGAAGAGGAATATTTTTTTGCACAGCAAGAACAAGATATAGGTTCATAGAGCAAGGTATGTTCACCACAGGTGAAAAACGGACCGACCCTTTTTTGAGACAAAAATACTGTGGTAATGGTCAGGTGTTCTGTTTCATACTGTCTGGATTGGGGCCTTCTTGTGGTTCAGATGTCACCATGGAATGACTTTGGTGGACAGTTAATGACATAATTAGTCTTAGGTTACTCTGTCACTTTCCAAATCCCATTGTGCCTGGGCTGCCTGGCCCATGGGTTGGGGGGACTCCCCACATCCTGCATCCTCTTGCAGATTAGCAGAGGTTCCTCCTCCCAGGTGTGGCAGTTGCTTGGGGCAGGATTAAGGCGGGGCAATATCAAGACAGGCCCACCTTGTTCTTCTTCCCAGGTGGAGTAATTACTCCCAGCAGCCCAAAGGCAACGTACCCACTTGGTTCAAAAGAGTCTCAAAGGTCCCTTGCCATCTATGTAACAATAATTTTTTTTTTTTTTTT